TCTGAACTCACTTGTAATGCCATGTTACTTGGAGCAAGTCGTTGTAATAACTGACAAATGTGTAGAGTCGGATGCCATTTTCTGTACTGGTGATCTTCAGTGGAGTGGAGGAATTGGCTGGCATAATATAACAAAACATAATGTATACATATATTTTCAATGGATACTGAAAAATGATGTGGCTGATTGAAATTTTATAGTCTTACCAATAAAACTGAAAACCTCGTTCATCAAGTCTTTAAAACCTATAGAAGATACATTGTTATTATGGCGGATTTTAAAGGGCAAACATGATGTTTTTGATCAGCTAACTACTCTACCTTGTTCTGTCAAATTCAACTTAGAAGTATCCTGTCCTCTGTCATCCTTCAGAACAACTTCATACACACCAGAATCTTTCTTGGAAATCTATCAGAGACAACATAAGCATCACATTTAACATAAACCACACACTACAACACAAAACAGGAATATACTTTGAAACCATCTGAAAAGGCAAAGCTTTTCTCTTCTGCTAAGGATGCTGCAGAAAACAGACACATAAAACAAAGGCAAAAAAGCCGACAGACAAACATTGATAAGAGAAAGAGCACTCTCAAGCAGAACTGCAAATCCACAATTATCACTTATAGTAAGGGCCAAATAAATGTTTCCAACTTTGAGTTTTCTCCAGAGAAGGCTGTCGGCATACTCTGCTGTTTCTGCTGGGGAGTCACGCTGAAATGGAACAAGGTAACACGTTTAGATTATATATACTCAAAGCATTATGCCACTCAGACAAACATTTAGGGACAACACTGGTCGCAATAAAACATAAAAGTGCTGTAATTTAAAAATTCTATTTTTAAACTTTCTTATTCACAAACTACCATTTGACTGATGTAAAACTATTGCAAATATTAACACAGGTACTATACCATCAAACAAAGTAATAATTAGAGAAATATAATATATAAATCTGTACTCATATGTACTCACATAAATGCAGAGCATAAAACAGGATATAAAATGTGTCTAAAAAGGCAAGTTTAGCATTTGACCTTTAGCAGATAAACATTGAACTTTAACTTACTTGATCTGAACAATCAGTTGACAGATCCAGATTTCACTGTTTATGTTCATATATCCAAGAGAACTGAGTGACTTTTATTGACAACACATATATACACAGATATTATATAGCACACACATTAATGCACAGTGCAGTTTTCTCACCTGGGCAATTTCTAGCTTCAGCACTCCCTCTGTGAAGCCCAGGTTGTTATCTGATTTGATCTCTTTACCATCTTTGTACCAAATTGCAGTGGTGTCTTTCTTCATGTTTCCAACCTGAGAAGGCCAAGGCATTGGTTAGTTCATTGTATATTGCATAATATCTTCTGATACTACTCTTCAAATCTTGCCTTGCACTTAAGTAGCACACAGCATTCTGGTGTCACCTCATAGCTCAGGTACTCAATAAAGTGAGGACCTACACAACACAAGGTCTTGTCTTTATTTATGTAAAACCATACATTATATTTCCCCCAAAACGTTTTTTTTTTACCTTGTTTTCGGAACCATTCTTTTCTTTGGAACTCAGACTCCTTCTGCAGCTCTTTAAACACTGTTGGATCGGGTTATGTATGAAACACGTTATAAGAAGTTGTGTTTAAATGAACTGTACTGCCACTCAGTGGCAGGGACAAAGAACTTACCATCCCCGATAAGCACCAAACTAGACTGGTTCTTAGCTTTTCCATCCAGTAGCTGGAAGGTGTAGGTCCCCTCATCAGCAGGAGTCAAAGACTCCATGGTCATCTCAATAATTCCAGTGTTTTTGTCAAAATTCATCTTGTATTTCTGCACAAGAGAGTAAATCTCACAGTCAATTTCAAATCATGTTACCACAAATAGTTGAAGGGAAAAGGAGAAACCTGACCTCCCCCTGAGAAATGCCATTATCATTGAACACATAATCAATGTGGCCATTTCCCGACATCTCTGCCTGCAGCCAAAAGCGGACCCTGCCCTTCTCCAACATCTCCACAGCCAACTCTGACTTCAGTGGAATAACTAATGCATAAATGTGTACAAACAAGTTAAAGAAGTAGACCAAAGCATGACATAGTACATGACTGTGAGGGATAACATACTCACTGGGGAACTTATGGTCATGGCTGATCTGCAGCAGTCTTTGCAGCTCTGTCCAAAAGGAGCAAAAAGAAATCAGAAAGCAACGTAAGTGCCGCAGTCATACCTCTTCTTATATTGTACCTTCAGCAGACAAAGTGTAGCTGGAGGAAGCACCATCCGTGTGAGTGACATGACACGAGTAAATCCCAATGTCTTCCTCTGCAGGACTGCTGAACACAGCCTTGGACCTACATAAGCACACAGGAAATATAATACTAGACTGAGGACCAAATAATGCAATGCAAGTTCACAGATAATACATACTTGTTTCCCTTGGTCTCTATAGCTAGCCGAGATGACTCAGAGATTTCTTCATAGTTTTTGGACCACACAAATTTGGAGTCTTGTGTCATTTCACCACATTCAAAGTTAAGAGAGATGACACCATCGTCGTCAACATCCACAACAATCTCCTTGGTGCCTAAAAGATAAATGTGCACTTGTAAGTGTTGTCAATATCTCTATAGAAAGTGACTGAGGGTGTGAAAGACTTGCCTGGTTTAGTGACAGCTTGGATGGGCTCTGTGACCTCTGAGGATTTGCCCACACCCGCTTGGTTTTGAGCACGGACACGGAACACATAATTCTGTCCTTCACTTAGGTTTTTGATCTGTTAGATAAGAAAATTATATGCTGTTAATATGCTTGTATACAATGTATCGACAAACATAGACAAACATAAGTGAATAGTTGTACCTTGAAAAATGTCTTGTTGGTGGCCTTGGTGTTTACACCTCTCCATGCCTCCTCTGAAGCCTCTGCTTCCTTGACATCAATGTAAAATCCATTCACCGGGTCACGGCCCTGATATACAGGTGGTTTCCATAGTAGCACCATGGAATCACTACGCACCTCTCTGATCTCCAGGTCATGAGGTGGGCCTAACAACACATTACGATGATCTTGTATTTGTACAGAGTATGGACCTAACAGTAAGATGGAGCTATCTAAGAGGACATTTATTTGTTTTCCACTGCTCACCTGGGACTGCGATGGTCCACTCCTCACACAGGAAAGTGTCACTAGGCAAAGATGGGATTCCCACACCTGCCATGTTGGCAGCCCTCACCTGGAACTGATACTTTCTATTCTCCAGCAGATCAGACACCTACATCCAGTACAAAGATTAGTAACACACTTTAGAGCTTCAGTATTACTGTTTCAAGTACAGTAATATTGTATAATAAAATATACGTTACATAAAGTATATTCAATATCAACCTACTCTGTATGCTCTCTCACTGACTGCCTTAATGTTGGCTTCATGCCACTGCCCTGGCACTCCATCAATGACCTCCCGGTAATCCACAAAGTAGCCTGTGATATCAGCGCCACCAATAGATTTGGGCTGTTTCCATGCAAGCACCATAGAGTCACGCACACACTCCAAAACAGTGATGCCATAGGGTGGAGTGGGGGAAGCTGAAATGACAAAATACTGCAGTTAACCTCAGCAAAGTGATGAAAATGAAATTCATATACTGTATGCATGTACTATAGTGTTTACTGTGAGACTAAAAAATCTAAATGCTCATATATTTGTACAATTCCAAACTGAAAATTTAAATTTTTGTACAAAGAATGGTTTTCACAGCAATATGCCAGAATGTAGCACAAATAAAGAGATGTTTTATCATCAGAAATACAGGAGGAAATCATTAGAAAAGTGCCCTTACTTTTCAGAGTATACTAGAAACCATGTGAGGCCTGGATGTCACTTTGTATGAAGTGTGATAGGCTACTGTTGTCTGTTATGTGTCCTTGGTGCAGAAGAGGTGGTGGTGACTGACTAACACATGACAGGATGTGAGACAGGCAGGGGGAATTTCATTTGTGGTTGACTACTTACCTTGGGGAAAAGAATGCCAGCAAATGTTAATTTGAAAATGTAAAAAAAATAAAAAATCCATGACTTGATGACACAAATTGTGTTTTTCCATTGCTGCTCACCTGTGGACTCTCTCCTTGGCCTTGTAGTGTCTTGATAAGCAGAAGCATCTAAAGAGAACTTACATGCCTGTGCGGGCTCAGGGTCAGTAAGCCCCTCTACAAAGACCTTAGACTGAGCAGAGGCAGGCTCACAGGTAGGTAGTGTGACAGGCTCTACATGTGCAACAGTGTGAGTGAGTGAGTCTACAGCTACAGCTGACACACAGTCTGTGGATTGCTCTGTGCCAAGGTTAGAGGTCCGGGGCCTGCAGCCTGTGCTCACAGACTTTTGATGGGCCCCGGGCCCCTGCCTGGGATCATTACAAGTTTGAGCTTTGCCCTTTGGCACAGTGTCAGGAGGGGACTGGACAGTCTCATGCGTGCCCATCCAGAGTGGCCTGTGCTCAGTTAGTTGGCCCAAGTTACCCCCTGGCCCCATCTCCAACACACCATGAGGAATGCCGCCTCCTAAAAGAGGTTAGCAGAAAAAGCATGGATAAAACAGGCAATTCAGCGCATCTTAACTATGCAATCACAAAATAACAAAGCAAAAATACTACTACTAATAATAAAAAAATAACTTAATTTAAGCTTAATTGTCTTCATCTGAGAGGACATAATTAATGAAGACAAGATGACCAACATCCAGATGACCAAGTGAGTGAGGATGAGAGAGAGGAAAGCATGCAGACCAGTGCCTTGAAATTTGCATCTTTAAAATAGGCATGCACTCTCTATGCTGTTTAAAGGGCTCATATTACATTATTTTCTGATTTATGTTACAATGTTGTTTTCTCATCAAAAACATACCTGAAGTTGTTTTTTGTTTCATTGATTTTAAGAGATGATTTTAGGAGATGTAGACAGACTAATAGTACAGGATTGCACAAACATCTGTGAACAAAACTAAACACAACTCTGGGTATGTTTTTGATAACATGGCTAAAAGCTGACATGAGTCAATTTTGTCTAATATACGACCTTTAATTCAAAGCTTTTATATGGTTATTGGAGACTGCTTTACATAAAGATGAAAAATATCAACTAGAGCTTAGACCATGCACTTGCATGAAAGTAAAGAAAACAAGGGTCAAGAAGCCAAATGTGAGTTTAAGAAAAATACCTTCATGCAGTTAACCATGTCCATTGGGGGAGGAGTGGAAATGCTACCTTTTAACACCAGGTGGGGTTGCTGACAAGTCTCGTGCCCAATATAGGAAGGGAAAATGGAAATGGTGGCGTGTGATACTTGCTGGTTTGTAACAACCACTGAATTGGATCACTATGACCCAAATAAGAGGAAGTCTACAAGTCCGGACCCTGCCACAGGCTGTGCAGGGAGTAGAGGGGAGAGTGAGGGAGTAGCAGGACAGGGAGGTGGTGGCCACATGGAAGTGCAGAATACAGTGATAGTGTGATTCAGTGAACCACCAGGAACATTTGTACATTTGCATTCAACATTTTTTGTATTAAGTATACATATTGTGCTACGAAAGGCAGTTTACAATGACGGTCAAATGACCTTTTGATTGGCCATCTTACTCACCAATAGCAGCCTTCACTTCAACAGCCTCAGATTCTGGGGAGAAATTGCTGAGTCCTGCTGCGTTGACTGCCCTCACCCTAAAGATGTACCTCTCCCCTGTGATCAGGCCATGGCAGATGAACCTGTGGAGCACATGAACATTCAAGCTCAGGCTGTAAATGAGACATAAGCACAGTCCCATTCATTTTACCTGGTGACTTTCACAGGCTTGTTGTTGCATGGTTCCCAAACATTGCTGCCCTCAATGCTACATTCTATGTAGTATCCCACTAATTCCTTTGCATTCTGGGAGGCTTCCCATGACACTACCACTGAGGTGTCTGTATTTCTAGTGGGGACCACTTTGCCTGGAGCTGCTGGGATATCTGTAAATAAAAATATGTTATAGTATGTTTCTTAAAGTACTATACTCTTAGTTTTACTAATTATAAATATTTGGACATGATTAAAAAATTCTGACCAAGTTTGTCTCCAACTGTGGTGGCTTCGGTTGGGTCAGATGGCTCGCCTACTCCAGCAGAGTTGCAGCAGCGAACGCGAAATCTGTAGGATTTCCCTTCAGCCAAATCGAACAGTGCAAAGCGTGGGGATTTGACTGGGATCTCTGTGTTCACTCTCTGCCAATTGTCTGTGCCAGAGACACACTAGACAAGCAGAAAGGGACATTTCACTTCCAGTTATTGCTATTGCTTATATGCTACATATGTACTTTTAACAAGTACCTTTTCTACATAATACATGAGACCTTCAAGGCTCTTCTCCCCTGGGGGCTTCCAGCTCAACACCACATAGTTTTTGGTGGCCTCTGTCACTTGCAGTTCTCGAGGTCTTCCAGGAACAACACTTTCTGCATAACAACACATAGAGGCAATCATAACCCCCACCCTCTTGCTGTTAAAAATACAAATGTTAAGTTTATACCTGCAGGCTCCTCCTCTGTCACAATGATTTGTCCAGTCCAGGGAGCAGAAGTGCCTGTTCATGACCAGGGAATCCCCAAAAAGTCATCAGTGAATTCTCTCAAACTCTAAAATAATGACTTGTTTACAGTTGATACTGTACCTCGCATACGTGCACGGTCTGCCGGGTCCATGGCAGCTACAGGCTCAGACACTCGGGATGGATGGCTCATACCACAGCTGTTCACAGCACGGACACGGAACACATAGGAGCGGCCTTCAACCAGCCCGGTGACAGGGAAACGGGCAAACTTCACTGGAGTATCATTGCATTGGACCCAGTGGTTTGTTCCAACCTCACATCTGCACACATTATAACATGTTCTGTAAGATTTGAACTCAGTCATCTTGTTTTGTGGGAGGAATATTTATTAGGACTGTGTGGGACCTTTATGTTTACTTTTGCTAAGACATTTCCTTCTTAACAATACTCCGGCAAAATAGGCCATATGAATTGCACAATGTTCAAATTCTCTAAATAGCATGTTATGTGAGTACCCCAATTGAACTAGTACCCCGTAATGCCTATCTAGAAAAAACTGACAGTGTAGCTAGCTAAAACCCTGAAATGACTAAATATTATATACCATACTGACCTGTCCACAAAGTAGCCAAGAATAGAGTTGCCACCATCGACTGCTGGCTGTTTCCAAGTGACAATTATGTAATCCTTATTGGCATCAAGACAACGAACATCCAGAGGGGCAGCCGGGGCTCCTTCCACCTCGGTCTCAGCATCTAATACACACAATGACACCAGCTGTTTGTAAATACTACAGCCAAATTTGTTATTATGTGTGGTCATACACTGTAACAGTGATATCTTGCCCTCTGCCAGAAATAGCCCAAGTTCAAAGTAATAAGTGGCAAGAAAACAGATTTAGCAATAGCCTTGGCCAAAATTAAGAAGATAAGAGAGGTGCCTCAGAATACACTGAACAGAAAAACAAAGGCCAACCAAACAACAGTTGCATACTATCGTTCATAAACAATATTTTTGCAGTGTGTACAAATTTAAAGGACTCATATTTTGCTATTTTCTGATCTAAGTTATAATATTGTTTCCTCACCAGCCCCATTTTATTTCATTTGCACATGTTAAACACACATATCCTGCATATTTATGCTGCGTTCTTCTCTCAAACTGATAACATTCCACTTTGTGATGTCATGTGGTAATACAGGAAGTGGTCCGTTGTGTTTTTAAACTCCAAACACCTTCACTAGAATCATGTGGATGATTTCAGTATTGAAATTACGCATTCTCTACCAAAAAAAAAAGGTAAAAGGTAGTCGTTAACTTGAAAACTTCCACTACATGACATCTCAAGGTGGAAAAGAACATTTTTGAGTTTTAGAGACATAGCCAAACTAATAAACCAGGATTACTTATACATGTGTAAATCAAACAAAACATAACTCCAGATATGTTTGTGATGAGGTAAAAAACATTGTAACACGACTTAAAGCTCAGAGTCAATTGTATGCAGTATAGGACCTTTAAAATATGGAGGCTGTATTTTAAGTTTGTTTTGCCTTCCAGTTGTTATTTACAGTATTTTATTTGGGTTTAGAGCCAGACCAGAGATTCCACTGCTGAGCTTTCTTAGAATAGCTCAGCTGCACAAAGGATCATATAGCTTATTGTTATGGAAACCCGGGAGACTCATCTTTAAAGTGGGACTATCAGCTGTGGCCGAGGGACAACTGGGTTTACACAGGGGCTAGTATGTTCAGTTCAGACACAAGCTTCAGAGGTCATTCAGTCCCAGAAGACACTGGACATAAGCCACACTGACCACTTTTCATGGTATTGAAACAGAGGTATGCTATTTAAACACCACTGTATCTGGTGTTGCCAACCGAGGCTTTGTTTTTAAAGGCCAGAAGTGGTATCTTTAACTGACAAAACACAAGTGATGGAATTAAGCTTGGATTTAGCCAAGACGAAATGTCTATATAAAGGCAGACAGTTTCTACAATTGCCTCACCATATAATGACTATTTCAGCTATAATACAACTATAGTAAGTAGCACTAGACCTGCTTCATCTCAAATCAGACAGCAGTAAAAAGCTGAAAAAAGTATAGATACCTCTCACAAACACATAGGCCGAGTGTGTCTCATATCCAGACTTTGTAGTGACACGTAAAGTGTAGAGTCCCTCATCCTCTTTGTTCAGGTGTATGAGTGTCAGCGTGGCTCTGTCCCCACTCCATTGCATCTGGTGCCATTTAGAAGGAGACAGCAAAACATCTAGAAATGTGAAAAGCAACGTTAGTCCTGAACAACAGTAACAATGCCAAGTGGTTTATTAAAGTAGGTATTAAACTAAAAAAAAAATAATTAATAGACCAACCATCTCTGTACCACTGGATCTCAGGCTGGTATCGGTTTAAAGTTGGATAAATGATGACGGTACATCCCAGGCTCATTGTCTCGCCCTCTCTTCCAAATGAAACTCCAAATGTATCAACAATGTGAGTCTGGAAGGTAATGCCATACTCAGACACAGGGCCCTCTACAGACAGAATGAAATGAAGAGAAATGTTAGGTGGTAAAGTGGCAGGGGCTTTCCAAAAGTGATGGCACAACACTGCAAGAATCATATGTAGTATATTACATATCCACCAAAAAAGATATAGTGGAACACTATTCACACAACAGATGGAAATAGTGTAGAAAGATGTGGATGAAAGCCCACAGCAAAGGCAAAAGAGTGACTGAAAAGAGAATTTAAGAACATTTTATGATTCGGTGTCATGCAAAAGACAGTGTTCACAACAAAGCCAGAAGTGTGCTAGTGCCTGTAAAATGTGGACTATATAAGTTAAAAACAACATTATATAGCTATAACAAAACTGACAAAAGCCATTCTCACAGCACTTTACATGTTTGTTCCACAGTTTCTACAGAAGACTGTGAAATGTGATGTGCCCATGCAATGAAAAAAAAGAACTACTCCAAAACCCAAAGTGACCTGTTACCTCGAGTAATGGCCCCTGCAAAGGCGGTGCAGCGTCAAAGAGATAAGAAAGTGTTAGTGCAGTAGCACCCAGTCTTCCAAACCCACCCCATCACACAACATAGGACTGATATCCTTAGAATGATCCAAACATCAGTCTAAAAGGATAGCAGCAGCAAGCATCTTAGCAAATGATTCAGGTGAATCTATTTTGATATACTCTCAGACCCTCCTAAAAAGCAATGACCAATATTTAGTGAGAAATTTTATTAATATTTAATATTTAATCAAGAAGATGCACAGGTTAAAACATATATTTAAAAAAAAAGATAAATATAATAGTGGGCCTATCCCTTCTCATTTTCACTCAGTAAGCCGACTGCAATTTGACTCTGTATTGAAAGAATGACAGCAAACAATGGGATCAAGAGAATACTAATGAAAAACATCTGGATTTGGATCAGGCCACAATTAAGCCAAATAAACAACAAAGAAGAAACTATACAAGAGAAAACAGGAACTGTACTTACGCCTGGGGGCAGGCAGAAACTCATCAACTTCACCTTTAAACCCTGTCAGATACAAAACAGCAGAACTGTGTTTTAACACACATCATATGGGCTATTTCATGTTTTAATGTATTTAAAGCACCCTTTGAAAGGTCATATTATTATAGTACTGGTGCAATGAGGAGGTGAAGCCAAACCTACTCTTTACAACGACAGAGGCAAAGGCAGACAGCTCCCCCTTGGAGTTCATGGCAGAAACTCGATACTGCGCCGTGTCATCAAAATCACACCTGAAACAGCATCAGGTGATTAGTGCTCGTCATATACATTCACATGTATAGAGCGCTTCCCCTATGTAAACCTTACTGCTCTTGCCATTTTAATCATATAAACTATGATGGCACACACTGTGATGCATTCCATAACAGCCTGAGCCAGAAATACTCAAGCAATAAATAGACACTGGTGAGTGCTGATGTCATTCAGACCAGGTGTTGTGAACCAGCAGTACTTCCTTATGCTACACTGCACAGGCTTTGTTCACTAGTTACACTAGTTTAATATTATAGTACCCACCTGTTGATTTCCAGTGAGTGGACATTGTATTTGCTCTCAAGTTTATATTTTCCTGGGTTGCCAAGGGGGTCAATGGCCACATTGTTTTTGTACCTTATGAAACAATAAATTAATTAATAAACATTTTTCATAAATAGGCATTCAATGAATGTAGCTGTGCTGTAATCTTACCAGACGACCCTGGGGTCAGGCCAACCGCTAACAGTACAGTGCAGGCGCACACACTGCTTCTCCCATACTGTGTGGGAGCGAGGCTTAATCACAAACTCTGGAGAGTGCATCAGGCTGTCTTCGTTCATACGCTTAAAGTGCTCTCCTTGTTCATGGATCTTCCAAATGCAACACAATCGTTAAAACACGCATATTTATTGTGATTGTTTTTAAATATATAATATAAATGGCATTTACTATATAATAAATGTACACTCGCATCAGGAATATGCAGTACATGCCTGTTGTAAAACCATTACATGCAATGCTCAAGCAGAGTTTCACAGTTTGCATTTGTAATCACAGTACAACATGTCTTTTAATAAAGTGGTGATGAAACTTGGCCACACCACTCTTAGTATGACATGGCTCTTGGGACATCACACTTGTGTGTCTGAAGAAACATGATCGTCTGGTGAAATTGTCACCTAGTAGTAAAGGACTTAGGGGAGACATAATCCATTGAGACAGGGGGTTACTGTGGTTTGTGATGTCCAGTAAAGATAACTTGGTCTCATAATCAAAAAATAACATCCTCATAAAACGAAGCCTCTTAGCCATAACTACAGTATCTGGTATTCAAACCAAGAGAGTGTGGTAGTCTACAAACAGCAACCAAGAAATATGTAGGGGCTAAATGGGAGAATGTTTCCTATAAACCTTGAGGAGGAATTGGCTTTTTTGTTTATTTTTGTATTACTGGATTTCAGATTTCATCACAACATTCTATAAGTTTGTAATTCAGCATGAAGAGATCATGGGTCTCAGGACTGGAAAACTGGCTCCTACTCTACATCAGAGATAACATTGTAACATTATTGAATCTAAAAGATCATGTAGCAAAGATGATCTATCACAATGGATAGAATGGACATTACAACAAAAGGTTAAAATGGAATTTGTCATTGCTTCTTAATTGACCCTAAGGAAACTAACCCTTTTGTTGAGAGAGATGCGATTGGCCGTCTCACGCATGGCCTCCTTCCTGGAGGTCTGCTCCATCTCCAGGCCACTGCTGAACAGTTCCCTGCGGCTCATCTGAGCAGTGTCCCTGCCCCTGGCCTCCTCTGTATCAGAAAATCCTGAGGCAAACTCTCGACTGGTCAGGAGTGTGGAGCAGGGCACAAGACATTTTCAATGTTTAGGACATTCATGGCGTTCCACTTCCAAGAGGTATTGAGATGGTTACCTGCCCCTGAAGATAGGTACTACATATCCAATGACGTGGTTCTCTCTGTCCACCGCTAAGTAAGTTGGCTTAGGTCTCTTGGGCAAGGGGCTCAGTCTGCTCTCCTCCAGCCCAGAGAGGGAAGACACAGACAGCCTGAGATGTAGAGAAAACCATAAGCCTGGCTCCAGGCCAGACACAAGTGATAATAACACTGAGAAACTGAGAAATGTTGAGGATGGTAGAGGGTTTGGGAAAAGGGGGTGAGATGGTGTTTTCATTATGGGATACTTGTCATTCAATAAATCACAAGTATTATTAAAAAAATTGAAACCAAAGTAGCAGTTTTTATTCCTTTGGTATATTTGTTTCCTATCCAATGTAGAAATGTTTACATCCTCCACTTAATTCCCAGGGCCTTTCAGGATACAAGTAGCTTCTGATGGAATGGAAATACTATCTGTGGCACTTAAAAGTGCAGGTGTGAGATAACACAGGGCCTGGAGGCTGAGGGCTGACAGGGAAACTGTTGGAATTTTTTCACTATCTTTCTAGGCCATTCCCTTTTAACTCTAAAGAGTGTGTGTACTGTATAGCAGAAAACATATAAAGCACCTCAATCCCCTAGCTGTGGTTTTGAATAGTATACGTGTGAAGGCAAAGATCACACATGATTAGAAAAGTCTAAGCCATCAAAAATTTCACACTCTTTGAGAACACTTTGAGACACTGCAAAGACATAGTTTTCACTTAAAACAAAAAACTTTACTTTTCTAACAACAACATCATTGTAAACAGCAATTGGGATAGGTCAGTAAATACATAATAACCTCACAAAACAATTTTTCAAAGTTTCAATTATCTTTTGGTAATTCAGTCAGATGAGCATCTAACCAAAGGCTACATATTCTTTAAAAAAGAGTAGAATCTCAAGCTTAATAACTGGATCAATTATAACAACACCAAAATACAAATACAAATAAAAGCATTTTTTGCAAACTAAAGTTTAAGTTCCATGTCTAACTATTGCGTAACTGTTTTCTTCTTCACAGCTGAATGAGAACTAATCCCATAGAAAGAGAGATTATTTCTTAATTATTATTGTGAGTCTGGCTTGGAGAGCATGCATAAGGTAAGAGGGACCACTTCAACCGCATGCATGATGATGGTTGTTGTGTTACAGTGGAAAATCAGGTTGAACGAGTGTTTGAGCTAAAGTAAACTTGGGTTTATAAGCCAAGCATGAAATACAGTATGGTCCAGGGAAAGTGATCCAGCAGAGAGGTGGTGGTGAAGCCTCAATCATGGCAGGAGGGGTAGATGATTGTGTTAGGGGCAGTGGGGCTTTACTGTCACAAAGAAGTGGGATGATGGAGGTATGTTCCCCTCTTCTTCAAACCTCCTTACCCCCTGCTGCTGCTCAGAGCAGAGCTGCTGCTGCCAGCGGTCAACCTGCTGCTGGACTGGTAGCGGCTCATGGTGGACTCCATCTCTGAGCTGCGGTAGCCGAGGTCATAGTGATGATGACGTTTCTGGTAGAATGGTATGGATCCAGACATGGCGCAGACGACTTCTGTGTCAGCTTATTGTCTGTGTATTATTCTGTTTGGTTTGTTAGTGTAAAGAAGGGGGCTAACATTTACTATTAAAACATTAACATACAAATATAGAGCACAAAATATGCTTTAAAAATCCAGAGGCTTTGACATTCAGATCTAGCAAGACAGCTGAGAGGCATGTACTGAACTTCAGGCTACCAGGCATTGATCCATCATGCACAAATAGATTTATGCAAAAGTTACTAATATGTCACGATTCTTACCTGGGCGATTCACTCCAAAGGTTAGTGAAAAATACACCACACTTGATATCCCAGCAAAGCCACAGGTAGCGGGCAATGGTGCAGTCTACACAACAAAAATACAGTTGGCCCTTGACAGAATGTCCAAGCAGCAGTCCCATCCTTTTATGGAGAGGGTGGAGATAAATATAGCAGACAGAGTTGGGGGGCAAGTCAAGTCCCATGCAACACATTTATGGGTTCAGACTTCACTCCTTGTAATGCAGGTAAACATTAATAAGTTAATTGGAATATAGAATGTAGATTAATATTTGGGATAATTTTAAGCTTTTTTGCTAAAATAAAGTACTATGTCCAGATTAAGGCACATTTTGTGGATCATTGGGTGGTTATTTTTCTCCAACTAACATTTTTAGGTCAGTAAGCTAAAATCCTTTTCAAATGGAAGGCCCTGGATATTTGGCGGCCATGTTGTATCTGTGTTCTGTAAATGGTGTCTCTCATGAGGCTTCTGTGTTGAATGCTAGGCCTTCTGGCTTTGGGCCTTCAGTCACCACTGTGTATCCGGTTCCCCTTCACTTTGGTCCATGGTCAACATACATATCTTTTACTAATACTTTCAGTGAGCTAATTAAACAGAGACATAAGCCTACTTATCAGACCACACTGGTATGTGGATGAATATGACACATTAATATATGCTTATGGTTATTAATAAATTAGGCTATAATAAAGTGATAATTATTAGAAATGGGCTGCTAACATAACAAAAAAGTATAATGCTGAAACTGGCAAATAGTCAAGATTTCCTTTGTGTCACAAGCATGCACGTTGTTTGCTAATAATATAAACAGATAAATAATTGAGATAGTTTTTTTTTTTTTTTTTCCCTGAGTATATGGTGCACTCTGGTGGTGGAATGTGATAATACAAACGTTAACGTATAAATTTCAGTGGCATCTTCAGTCTTCAGTATATTCTTTCACCCCCCCTTTTTTTACATACATATCCATGAGTTTTTACGTGAAACTTCAGTTTGATTCCATTGTGTATTTTTATCATTAAGATCCTGTTATGTTATATAGAACTGACAAAGTCTATTTTGTTAAGTTGTTTACGTCATATATTTAGGCATGACATTTCTCGTGAGATGTAATCTGGGAATAACTTTTTTTTTAAAACTCCCTTAAACAGAAATAAAGTATGTATTTTGCAAATGGACCAGGCTATATCATAAGTAGGGTATGATCATCCTAAATAACTTGCATGGCTGGACTCAGGACATTGTAATGTGACCCTTAGAGAACAATGTGACTTGATTTAACCTGTGACTCAGTAGTTCCACATGATGCTCTTCACTTTCCAACAGTTGTTTCTGGAGCATATTTTACATCTATTCAATCAACTCTGGCTTTCTCAGTAACTCATTTGCTGCTGATGTTGTTTTACATAAATGTACATTTAAATCATATGCTAATAAACATGTCTGGCAACATAACATTAACTGTTGTAAATGTATAGTTTTTTCATAGATGAAACATCACTCATCATTTCACAAATACAAGAGTGTAGACATATATAGGATATGGCAAAATGACAATAATATTGGCCTTTCTGTGAAATTGCCCTTCTTCTTATGGCCTTAATTGCGCAGGAAAGAGGAAATTGGAAAAGGGAGGAAAAAGGTCGAGTGTTACTCTATCCATAAAAGGAAATTTGCAGGAATGTCGACGCAGGCAAAGGGAGTGTTTTGTGGACGCACCACTGTCTCTGGCGGGGGTGCTCCATTGTTTAATTTCAGTAATGTCAGTTCTTTTATTCAACAATGGTGATATTCTGTCGAATTATATGTAAAAAATAAGAATGTTAACTGCATTGTTGATTACACATATAACTAACATGGTGTAAATATAAATACAACTGATTTTGCAGATGAAAACCCCCTTTGTTGACTTGGTTTATCCTAGCTGTTGTCGAACGGAACAACAGTTTTATCAGGAAGTGAAGGGCGGTGGTTGAGAGAAGAGCACTGGACTAGCGGTTGAGACTTGGGTTGGTGACAGGTAAAACGCTTTTACTATCTCTTGAATGTACTATTAGTTGCAGTCTTGGTTATGAATGAGAGATAAATACAGTCTTTTTTTAATCAGCGAAGTGTTTTTTCCATTAATTAGAACATAAGCGGATTAGAATTTCGTTGAAAACATGGCCAGTTGTTAGCCAAGATGCTAATTTTACGATACGTAATTATTATACATAGAAATCACCATTGTATACCATAACGAATATCTTATCTTATCGTATATTGTTTACGTAGTTTCTAATTGTTTTTCCACTAAGTCCTCGTAAATGTATGTAAAGTGCGTACCTGGACCCGGGCATTCCTTTTTTTATGTTTGCACAGACAGGCCGCGAACCACTAACAAACGCCGCGTCTAATGTAATAATTACACGCCCGTAGAATTTGCCCGGAGGCACATATGGCTGTATTTTTAATTTCGAGCATCATTTGGTATTCAAATGTAGTGATCGTTACATTCAAATTTGACTGTACAGCCTATTTGCAAATTGCAATTATAAAACTGCTCGTTCGCAGATAGAAAAGCTGCAACAGGGATTCAGTTTCTATAATAACTATAATAAAAACAAAAGATAAATGTCCTGAAATAAAAGATAAATGTTCTGATGGAATGCTGGACAGTGCAGTTATGTAAGGCATAACCTCATTTGGGCATTTGTACACACATCAGTAGTTTCCTGTCCTGACCAAAACCACAGAACTGATCAACCTAGAAAGACAAGAAACATTTCCATTTATAGCACAGTGAGGACATCACTCCTGAGGACGGTTGACACTGGATTAAAATTATGGCTCATAATACTCTGCCTGGCAACTGGCTCAGTTGATAAATGTTAAAATGACATCATAACTTCAACACTTGGACTTTATTTTTGTCTGTGGTGCATCATAACAAATCTTATGTGACATTTATTAGATTAGAAAGCGTGTTTAAAAAGTGTGTCTTATGTGTACCATTAATGTGAAATAAAAAATAGTGCTTGATTGTCTTTCCACTTCTCTGACGTAATTTATCTTTGTGATATAATGATTTAATGTATACTTGTTCTATGCCTTTGCAGAAATAAATCGTCAAAATGTCTAGCAAAAGAGCAAAGGGGAAGACCACGAAGAAGCGCCCTCAGCGCGCCACTTCAAATGTTTTTGCTATGTTTGATCAGTCCCAGATTCAGGAATTCAAAGAGGCATTTAACATGATTGACCAGAACCGTGACGGCTTTGTTGACAAAGAGGACCTTCATGATATGCTTGCATCTCTTGGTGAGTGCTACTGAAACATTTTAGTGGATATTGATGTCTGCGTATTGGATTTGCCTTTTGTAAACAGACTTTTTGCCAAACTACTTTGTCTTTTTTCATCTCCTGTGTTTACAATAATATGTTATATCTGCTATTCTAAAGGAAAGAACCCAAATGACGATTACCTAGAAGCCATGATGAATGAGGCCCCTGGGCCCATTAACTTCACTATGTTCCTCACAATGTTCGGAGAGAAGCTCAACGGCACAGACCCTGAAGATGTTATCAGAAATGCCTTTGCTTGCTTTGATGAAGAGGGGACGGGTATGTTTGACAGTCCATGACATAGATTTTTGTTGTCTCTATCAGTTTGTCTCTAATCATTATTTATCTTTGGTAGGATTTATCCAGGAAGATTACCTCAGAGAGCTGCTCACAACCATGGGTGACCGCTTTACAGATGAGGAGGTAGATGAGCTCTTCAGGGAAGCCCCCATCGATAAGAAGAATAACTTCAACTATGTGGAGTTCACGCGCATCCTAAAACATGGTGCCAAGGATAAGGACGATTAGAGACAATGCTAAGATTTTTCTTTCAAACTTTTTCTCTTCCATCAGCTAGTTTTCAGTGCTGCATGTCTCAACTGATAAACAACTAAATTTTAAACAAACCAAAGCAATAAATATCACTTTGCATCTGCTAGTGGCAGAAATAACTGTTGTGGTAAAAAAAAAACAAAAAAAAACAACAACAAAAGAATGTGTCAAAGGTTTGTTATTCTAGGTGTGAAATAATTCACAATTCATGGGATTGGGTTTAGCTGAATTTATACATTTTATAATATAAACTTTTTGAATAAAGCCCTTTATCAAGTTGTTTCTACAGTTTTTGGTTTTCTCACTAAATTGTTTTCTCAATCATCGAGACAATTACTGCATTGCTGCATGACATGTTATGACACATCTTCTATAGCCCCTACTTAACATGTTCAAACAGGAGCTCTAAATTCTTTGAACAAAGTACATGTCTTTATACTACATTTTTTATTTTACTAATTCAAATCTTATGAAGTAAGCATATTTACACAATTCTCATTTCCTTTCATTTATTTTATTTGATAGTGTTACACAGTGTAACACAACACAAATTCTATTTTAAATTTTTTTTTTTTGCATTTCATGATTTACGCCAAAAACTATAATTTTACCAGCAATAAGGTTTTCAGTAATGGTACAGTGTGTACCATTATTAAAGCAAAGTGGGTGTTTAAGGCATTATTTTATTGGGGCTTGAGCAGCTGAGAAACCAACCACTTCACTGAGCTGTAAAACATAAATAAAAGGTATGGTCTTACAGCTGGATGCTTTTTTAGGGTGGTAATGTGGCAATCAGATTTAATCACCCAGTGATTATTTAATAGTTCCACTAGTTTTTTCATGTCAGCTTTTCTTGCATTATAATCTCTGACATAAAAGCTGACATGAAAAAACATGTTGGACAGAATATAAAAAAAATAAAATAAAAAAAAGCATGCATTGGGATAAAAACTAGTTAGACTCAGAAATAATATACAGCTTTTAAGCTCTCATGATATGCAAGTGAACATCTGCTGCCTACCCAATTTTGAGCGAAATTTATATTGGTTTAAAAAAAAAAATCATACAGTGAAATGAAAGAGATAAACCATGGATCCTACCATGACAACAAGGGGGCAAGATGGGGAGGAGAGGCAGTCAAAGCTAGACCTCTTGATAATGATCAAAAGAATATTTAAAAATGTATATTGTTCCAGAATAGTGAATACCTACATCTAAAATCTGTGTATTCTGTTACAGGAAGTACTATATTCAGAATAGTTATGTTGCATTACATTATAGTGCAACAGAGGGTTAAAAGAGCCTGTAATGCATTTATTTATCACTAATGAGAGAAGGAAATACTATCTAGCACCAACCTGAGAGAAGAGTGAGGAGGAGGAGAGTCTAGGGAGTGACATAGGCGTCCAGCACCGGATTAGGAGATTTAATCTATAATTAAATCAACATAAAAAGATTTACAATAATCTTTTATAATAAGACGTTTTAATACTTCCAAGCCAGGTGGGAAAGATGGATAATTGTGAGATTTGTGGACAGACATGAATGAGAGCTTATGAGACCAAAATACAAATGTAAACCAAACATTTCTGAGAAGTTAACTCCTTGTTGTAAAATGATTGCTATACTTCTTAGCTATGATAGCAGCTATATAGTAGCACATTGCACAGAGGAGAGCATAATTTTACAAGGCATCTATATTGAAATTTATAAGTAGGGAGTAGGATCTTAGAAAACTATAATCCTAAAGTAAACAATAAAGACAAACAATTCTTACCGTTTATATTAAAAGCTGGAATTGTATTTGCATAATGAAAGGACTTTTTTTTTTATAGTTTGTGCAACCTAAAAGTTGTGAACAGTAGACTTTTACAGGAAGACGCCATCTTGTGGATGTGGTGTGCGGTGCGCTCATAGAATAGGGTGCGCTGTGGAGTAGCAATATATGATGTATGCACAAAGATAAATATGTATTATTTATTTAAAAAATCAACAACAACAACAACAATAATAATAATAAAACATGGGAGGAAAAACTAATGGAATTAAAACGATTTTATTTTACTTTGAGATTAGCTTACTTTCTTGAAATATAAGTAATATTCGAGGCACCTTGAACGCACCACATGCAGTCCCGTGTTACAGAATGGAGAGGGAGCCATGCTATTTCAGCATCCTTCTCTTCATCGCGTTATTTCATTGACTTTGAGGACGTCTACCACATGGTACCAGTACAAACTAATTTAACATGATCATTGTTTAATTACAGGTTTTTCGGAGGGCACCATTTATTGGTCTCTGCGTTGTCGTGGGCAGATTATTTCATGTAGGCTAACAGCTAAGCTAACAGTTTAGATAACCCTCAAGGTTGATAAAAGTTTTCTCAATGCTATGAATGAAAGCGAAACTAAAATGAACCAAAAGTGCATTTTATTATAAACTGATGATCACTGTTAGTAATGTTATTGTTTTTCTTGATGTCTTTTAGCAGTTGTAGGAGGGCCATGGCTCTGACGCTACTCCAAAGACTTCCTAAACAGGTGCGACAGATTGGCAAGTATCGCTGTGCTTCTGCTTGTGCCAACTCAGGGCTACTATTCAAGTGCCAGACTGAACAGCACCTGAGTGTGGCCAGCTTGTGTACCTTATCTACCAACTGCATCCGAAACCATGGGTATAGAAAACTCCAACTGGACTTGTCAAGGAGGAGACTGACCACAATAGTCCGTGAGCCTTCATTTGTGGCCAGCAGCTCTGTCGGACTCCACAAAGATTCATTTCCTCGGTTCTGTCTGACTCAAATGCATCATCCCACTCCAGCAGAACAACAGGCTTTTCACATGCGTCTGAACAAGTGCACTTCATCCCGGCAGGTCTTCAGATTCCTGTACTCTGTGGAAGTAATGACTGACAGCATGGCAGCAGCATCCCTTCATCGTGTAGCTGACTTGGAGCAAGGGGAAAACTGTCTAAAAGACCCTTCAGTGCTGGAGGAGCTCATCATTAGAGCGCTCTGCAAGCAGCTGGAGGAAGACTCTGGGCGGCTAACAGATGGTGGCTTGGTATCTGCACTTCTAGCCTGCACACGCCTTTATCTGGATCCCTGGAGTACTCTGATGGTGCGTCTGGTGTCTGAAAGCCAGGAGAGACTAGATCGGGGCTACCTGAATATAGGGCAGCTGTGTGTCTTGGGCCGGGCCATGTTGGCTCTGGAGGGTCCTGGTTCTGTCATGCTGGAACAGGTCATGTCACAAATTCAGAAGCAGGAGCCAGCTCAGTGGAGCTTGCCAGAACTTAGAGCAGTGTATAAACTGTTACACAATGGTGCAGGTTTTGATGGGAAATACTGTGACCTGTTGAATGCGATGCACTCTCATGCAGTTACTGTCACTTCTCATATGAACCCTGCCACTGTCAGTGAGCTGCTCAGTGTCCTCACAAGTCTGAATCAAACTCAAGCCATGCCTCTGGTGATCAGTCTGTGTAAACGGGCTGTGCGCCATGTTCCTCACTTTACTGATGAGGAGCTCACTCTTGTTCTAGGAGCACTTATGCACTTTGGTCACAGTGATCATTACTTTGTGGATGCCATGGAAAAGTATGTCCCCACAATGGCTTTTACTTCCCACCCAGAGACCATTAGCAAGGTGATGCAGTTCTTTGGGAGAAGAAACATCTTGTCTCCAGTGGTGTTTGATGCTGTAGCTGACAGTTTTGTGTACAGAGCAGATGAATACACTACTAGTCAGGTGGCCAGGCAAATTATGCCTTTTGGTAAGCTTGGCTACCTTCCTCCAAATGCTGCTGATATGTTCAGGAAAGTTGAGACAATCTTGCATTCTCGCTTTTCACACTTCCAGCCTCGCACTTTAATCAATGTGCTTCATTCCTGCATCTTGGTTGAGAGATTTCCTGTGAACTTTGTCTCTAAAGTGTTCAGCAGTTACTTTCTCCAACAATTGCAAGGTACATATAGATATAGATCATATAGATCTTAAGCATTATCTTAATGCCATGTATTATAAATATTTGTGTTATTCTTTTATTCAGATCAAGGTACAGGAATAGATCGGTATGTTCTTGCTCAGCTAACTCAGCTTTACATGACAATGAAACTGGAGTGTCCTTTCTATGAGGTATTGTATCAAACATTTAAAAAAAAAAATCTTTTCAATAGTCTTTTCAATGGCATCATCAACAATATTCTACATTGTTTCTTTAGGGACCGCAGCTTCTTCCACAGTACCGAGTCAAGTCGTTTCTCACGCCTGGTCACTCACTGGAGTCCCCAGTCGACATTCATTTGTACAATTATGTCAAAACTGGATTGGTGGATTTACTTGGTGCTCGTTCATATTTTGGCTCTAAAGTTTTGACACCATACTGCTACACACTAGGTAACATGATAACTAAAATATTTGTCAATCTTTTTTCAATCTGTTAATTTCAGTCTGTTGAAACCTATAGATGTGGAGATCAAACTTGATGAAGAAGGATTTGTCTTGCCTGCCTCTTATAATGATGAAGTTTATAAGAGGTATTTTCAGTTTCTTTTCTTCATACATCTTAGTGTGACCTTGTGTGACCATGAGTGTTTCCTTATTGATTTTGTTTGTAGAATAGCACTTTGTATTGATGGACAGAAGAGGTATACGTCTAACAGAAAGCAGCTATTGGGTAAAGAAGCTATAAAGCAACGGCACCTAAGGCTTCTGGGATATGAAATTATCCAGGTAGGACAACATAAATGACACATTTAGGTTTTATTTCCAATTAAGTTCTGACAATAAGTGAAGTATGTCGTTTTGCTCAGATTCCATTTTATGAATTTGATCAACTCCAAAACAAGTCCAGTGTTGGAGAATATCTGCACCAGAAGATCTTCCCCCACAGCTACAGACTCAGCTGGTGATCTTTCACTTAAGGGACATTTTGTTTAGTATAAATAGATGCATCTACATAGTATAAACTGCCAAATAATAAGAATGGTTGTACAAAGCAGTACACAGCTCTTTTGATGTGCAAAATCACGTATGACATAGATTCCATTTGAAAAATATATTTTATTTGTTGTTGGCAATTTTTATGATGGACAAAATGTACAAAGCAAAGAGCCCAACTCCAACTATAGTGTATATATAAAATATTTATAAAACGGTAAACACAAAGCATGATTTTTTGTTTTTTTTTAAGTTACCATTATCTCTTTCTTAATTGCTTTCCAGGTTAATTCTATTATTTAAGGCTTGGAGTGCGGTTAGATAAATACACAAGAGGCTATCATACACTTTCTTAACTAAGCTGGGATCTGGGGAAGGCCGAACTCATCCACAAGAACGCCATCCTGCAAAATAGAAAATGATCATAATTTAGAGAGTCTCCTTAAAACAAGCCGCCACCATTGGATAATATGAGCAAACGTTACCCTGTTGTTGGCCTTGTCACCAGGAAGACCCTCTGGGATTGTGGGTGCCGTTGAGGCCTCATCCAGGTAGGAGCTGTCATCGTCCATCAGGAGCTCATCTCCTAGAGCATCCAGTTCTGTGTGTGCAACAAAGAACTGCATTGAGCAAAGATCTGGCAATAAATGAGTAGATCGGTGTGTTAACTGTTAACGGTACGTAACTGACCTGCTTCCAGGTCATCTTCATCAATGTCAGGGGTGCCATAGCTTCTGCCCAGTGCATCCTGAATTTCACTGGCGTCTTCCATCATGTCCGATAGCTGATCTTGAAGATCCTAAAAACAGGCAAAAGAATATATTTACACTTTTTGCTTACAAGAACACTGTTGTACTAAAAATATAACTTACCTCAATTTGATCAATTTTCACACCCTTGTATGCTTTCTTCATGTCTTTGAGGCCAACTTTCATAGCATCAACCTAGCAATAACACGAATTAGTATAAAATACATGATTGATAATGGCTAAATTACAATATTTTCATATCTTACAGTAGTTTTAGTGTCTTTTAGTGACTGAATTGTGTAGTTAGTTTGTTCCATGTTGAATGATTGCTGCATTAGATTGTCCCGTTGGTTTTCATACCTAAAGAAAAATTAATTAAAACAAAAAATTAAGAAGTTATGACAACTGATTTATCAGTTGTGATTCACTACTTACATTCTTTTCTGCTTTAAGACTCTCATTGCCTTTTGTTTCACCATATTCTATAAAAGAACATGTTTGCAAAGTTGTTATATTAGTCACAGATTGTTCTACTAAAGGTGCGTTTAATGCTTTCATTTCATTACGCATTCACTTACCTTTGAAGGCCCATCTTTCATTTTCTTCATCTGGTCCTTATACTTCACAAGTTCAGCATCTAGTCTGGCTATTTTCTTGTCAACTGATTCTGCTCTAGAGTCGACCTAAAGGAAAACAACAGGACAGTTTTAGGACAAAATATATAATACAATACAAAACTACTTCCATGTGATTCAGTCTGTCAGCGGAGTTAACAACAGATGGAGCTCATACGATGAAAACAACTAGTTAAACCGGTTGATGCCAGTCGATTAACAGAGGTTGAACTCTGGAGTAAATACTGAGCTCACTATGACATAATGCTGACATGCCAGCCAAACCCATTGTTTTGCTAAACACGTCATAATTCATGTGATCGTAACAAAGACAGCAGTGACACAGATTACATTTGAAATAATAATACAACATTCGTTGTTGAACATTGGTAATATTTGCGTTGTGGTTCATAAAGTTGGTCAAAGTGAGACGAACAATGTTATGCTAGTGTCTGTCTTCCATATTTGTTTACTCACTTAAAAAGTCGTCAAAAGTTGTTTCAGATCACTACTTACGTTTCCGATACAGTCGCTGAGGTTTGGTGGGGGACCCTTAGGTTTCCCTCTGCCGAAAATACGATTCATTTTGATATTCAAAGGCAAAAAGACAGGACAAAAACTAAATCTGGCTGGACACAACCCGTCCCGAGCTAAAAACGAGAACCCGGAAAAAGCGTTGCACTGACGTCACAGAAGACACGTGACCCAGCTCGTTAACAAAACCCCACAGGTACTTATGGGTTTTATCGGGATTGTACCTTTTGTTTTGTATTTATAATTTCATGATGTGTAATTAAAATGATTTAATGGTGAATGATATAAAAACGAACAAACACTGAAAGATAAAATGCACTCAAAACTGTCATGTAAATTATTGACCACAAGAGGGAGTTGTTTCCCCATAAATAGTTACATATTTAGTTTTTGTTTAATCTCGATAGCT